GAAGACTAAGCAATGTATATTGTGCCATTCATAGAAGCTGCTCCGAGCCTGTGAAACCCCATTGGCGAGGGAGGCCAAGCTGGACACCTTTCTGTTGTTTTTCTGTTGCCAAATATAATGTATTATTCAGGTGGGCTTTTTGGGAGCTAATTGGTTACTGAGAAAGACACTTTTTCACAGACCAGTGCTGTATCTTGATATTATTTGGAGGGGGGGTAAGTGTGCACACAACAATTAAAACCATGCAATAATAGTAAGTTAACATACTACATAGAATTATATATTAAAAGACAATTAAACATTGATTGATCAATATCTAATTTTTTTAAATGGAGTGTTCCCTAGAACCCAACTTATTCCTTAAAAGCCTGCCTGAAAAGGTATTAAGGAAGTCTTATTAGGGAGGGAAAATGGGCTAATAGTTGGGAATATGTGTTTGCAAAACTGGAAGGGAACTTGTAATTGAACTTTAAATGCATGGAGAAACAGAATATGGCATATTGCCCTAATCAGAAAATTAACTCACCAGATCAGATTAAGTAAACAATCACACTCCCAAGATTTTTTAAACACGTGATATCGTTTTACTAATTATATTAACAAGAATAAAAAGGCTTATTTCCTACCAGCCTCCCATGTCAATCTGAACTTTTATGGGTTTCTTAATTTTTAATTCATTCTTATGGAGAGGTACTATATCAGATTACACATTCCGTGTGAAAGACCTGTTCTATTATTTTGTTCATGGTGTTTTCCATGTTCTTTCAATAAAGTTTTTTTTAATGGAAATATGTGTTTGCCTTAACTTGTAGTTTGCTCCTTAATATTTGGATTTAGCTGTAAGTAAATATAAACAGCTGAAATTTTTCCCTCCTGAGCATCTCTCCAGCTGCTTGTTAAGATCCCAAGAAAAGGTCAATGGAACAGGGCTAAGTATTCTTGTTAGACTACGGGAATTTTTTCTTCTTCATAGAGCTACTGTCTTGTTTTAATATCATTTGACTCTAAATGGTTAGTTCTAATTATTAAGGAGGCTTAGAGACACATTAGATGTGCTGAATGGTTTTGGCAAGTGATTCTTGTTCTATGAGCTGTATATTCTCCCAACCCAAGATAGGATGTTCTATTCAGTCGTCTTTAAAGACAGGGCTATTCTGAGACATTTTGCTGTGTCAAGGAAAGGACAAGAAGCTAATTGGACTGGAGATTGAACTCTCAGCTCCGGTGATAGGATAAAGTCCTCTACCACAACTTAGGGCAACTAGCTATAGCTTAAAGGTCATATATTTGCCATAGAGCACAAGCACCTCTGTCTCTCAGGGCAGCGGAAAGACTGGGGGTTCAGCTGAGAAAGCTGGCAGGCTCCTTCTAGTTCTTACTCCCTTAGTACCTCTGACCTGAACCAGTGTGGTCTCTCTCACTTTTCCTAATGGGTAGGGTTAGCTAAGTAAGAAAAGTTTGCTTCCTTGGTAGGACCTGAGACTTGGGAGTTCCTATGGAAATAAATTCTTTGGAAATAAATCTTCAAGCTGAACATGAGGAAAGCAAAATTTCCAGAAGGCAGTCCTAATCTCTGAGCAACATCAACCTAGCTAGCACCTCAAGATCCAGATACCTTACTGGGACACTATGCATGGAATCCTGTGCTCCATTCAGCATCCTGTGCTTCCTGCAGCATCCTGATTCTTAGTTTGTTTCTAGGAAGACCACCAGGTGAAGACTCCAAGACCACAGACATGAGTCCGTAGGGTAATTATGTTAGCAGAAAGCATTAAATGGTTAAGAGCATCTTATTATTACAAATCAGGAGGAATTATTCATAATGTGTGTAAGGTGGAAGAAATCCATTCAATAGGATGAAGCAGTGGTCTCAAACATGTGGCCTGAGGGTCAATTGTGGTCCACAGGAAGATAGTTTGTGGCCCCCACCTTAATAAGAAAGTTTAAGGAGCGGGAGCAGCAGCAGCAGCTACTTGGCAAGTGCGAGGCTTCCTCTCTGCCTCGTAGGGGCTCGGTCCTGCCTCCTCCCCAAAGCGCCCATGTGTCCAGAAGGGGAGACCTCTCCCTGCCCGGCAGTCTTCTCTCTCAGGGGTTTGGCGCCACCGGGGCTTCTGCTTTTAGGTCTCTTTCTCCCCCTCCCCCACTCTTCGTGGGTCACCTGGTGAGGCTGCTTCTGCTGTCACCTCGTCCTCTCTGCGCTTCTCCTTCCCCCCACCTGGCGCTCCTCTGCTCCCTGCCCAGACATGCCGCGAGAGGGGGTGCTGCCGAGAGAACAGCCTTCTCTCGTGCGCTCCCCTCCCCCCGGTCTTGCTGAGCCACACTGGGCAAGACCACGGCATCTTGCCATAGTGGGAGTCAAGAACCCCAGGAAGCCCCATTAGCCCTTGGGTACGGGGGAGAGATTACTCTGCTGATGGGGCCAGCCTTGCAGAAGGGGCGCAGGCAGCTGCTAGGGGTATGTGAATCTATGGGCATTTAAACTCCAGTGGTTTACTGCCACCCCCTCCACTGAACTGGGGTGCCTTATCTTCCTGCAGCATCCCTTCATTGTCCCCAACCTGCGTGTAAAGAGGGCACACTTCTTATGTGGAGAATTGTGACACGTGGGCAAGAGCAGACCACAGGGGGAAATCTTGCTCTCTCCGGGTTGTCGTCCTTGCTTGTTCGCTGCACTCATTTTACTTCTGGCTCAAAACATGTAGGTGGGAACCCTTATGAAAGCAAGTTCCCTGCAAGGAGGAGGACTTGTCTTCTTCCCTCCCTCCCACCCCCTCTGTCCTGTTTCTGCTCATGGCCGGGCGAGCAACGCACAAGCCAGGCCATCACTAAAGACAGCCAGGACACTGGAAAACTGGATCATTTTGCCAGGGCTGTGTTCTCGCACCAACCCTGTTTGGGATCTTTTTTGCTATCATGCTTAAGCACGCCTTGGAACTGCAACAGAAGGTGTCTATCTCCGTGCTAGACCAGATGAAAAGCTCTTAATCTCTCTAGATTGAGAGCAAAGACCAAAGTCCATAAAATGCATGCAGGACTTCCTCTGCGCCAATGATGCTGCCCTTGTTGCCCACTCTGCTGAAGACCTCCAACAACTCATGAATCGTTTTAGCAAGGCCTGCCAAGACTTTGGACTAACACTCAGCCTGAAGAAAACACAAGTCATGGGCCAGGGCGTGGACATACCTCCCTCTATTACCATCTCCATGCAAGAATTGGAGGTTGTTCATGACTTTGTGTACCTTGGCTCAACCATCTCTGACACTCTCTCCCTAGATGTCGAGCTGGATAAACGCATTGGCAAAACAGCTACCATGTTCTCTAGACCCACAAAGAGAGTATGGCTCAGTAAGAAGCTGATGGCATACACCAAAATCCAGGTCTATAGAGCCTGTGCCCTGAGCACACTCATGTACTGCAGTGAGTTCTGGACCCTTTGTGCATGGCAAGAGAGGAAGCTAAACACTTTCCATATGCGTTGTCTCGAACACATTTTTGGTATCACCTGGCAGGATAAAGTTCCAAGTAGAGTAGTCCTAGAACGAGCTGAAATGTTTAGCATGGATACATTACTGAAACAGTGACATCTACATTGGTTTGGGCATGTCATGAGAATGGCTGATGGTCGGATTCCAAAAGATCTCCTGTATGGAGAATGAGTGCAGGGAAATCGCCCCGGAGGGAGACCACAGCTGCGATACAAGGAGATCTGCAAGCAGGATCTGAAAGCCTTAGGAATGGACCTCAACAGATGGGAAACCCTGACATCTGAGCATTCAGCCTGGAGGCAGGCATTGCATCATGTCCTCTCCCAATTTGAAGAGACCTTTATCCAGCAGGCCAAGGCAAAGAGGCAGTCCTGGAATCAGCCAAATCAGGGAGCTGGACAGGGGACAGATTGTATTTGTCTTCAGTGTGGAAGGAATTGTCACTCTTGAATTGGCCTTCTCAGCCACACAAGACACTGTTCCAAGACCTCTATACAGAGTACATTGCCATAGTCTCTTGAGACCGAAGGGTGCCCAATCTAAAAAAGTGATTGAAGGGCATACAGATTTCGAAGGCATCAAAATCCAGATGAATCTACTGGCAAGTGTTAGGAAAACAAAGGGCAACACCTCCTGTCCTATTCATTTTCCTTTTTTGGGGGGGCATGACGTTTCTCTCTTTTTGGGCTTCCCAGTTTTCATCTTTTTTTATAGGAGGCTCACGCCCACGCCCCAGAGCTTTTGGATTTTTCAAGAGCCAGAACAAGCTGTTCGCCTGACCCTGGCAGTTTGCAAAAACCCTTCCCTACTCTACTGATTTTGCTTTCATTGAAGGTTGAACAGAAAACAGAATACAATAGGAAACAGAGGAGGTGCTTACACGTTGCCACCCTGTACCCATGAATTCTCTGGGACTTGAGTATAGCCACCTGAGGCACTGATAGTATTACAATACTTCTCATTTTCTTTTTTCTTGTTTCCTTTCTTTCTGTCAGGAGCCACACAGTACAATTAAATACATAGATCAGATAATTTCCACCCAATTATCGGCAACACCAAGAGTAATTGGGGCAGCTTGCTTCAAGTTTTCCATGGTACGTGAGGAGGAGTATAGAATATAGGGACACAACTCTAAATATGCACAATGCAAACATTAGGAAAGTTACTTTTTGGACTACAACTCCCAGATGCCACCAGCCAGTTCTACTCTGAAAAAGTCACGCTTCCAAAGCCCTGGTAGAAGACGTGGTGAACTCTTCCCTTCTCCAAAGGCAGATATTACAGCTCATCTGCATTTTCTCCCAAGGGTATGAAAGAGGGATTCCCTTCAAAGAACTTCTTCGTTAGACCCTCCTTCTCCCCCTCCAGAAATCAGACACCGGGACTTCTAATCACTCCCCCTTTTCTGGAAAAGCTTCTCTCTGCCTTTCCTCTTGCGGAGCTCTTCCTTCCCTCCCTCCCTCCCTTTGTGCACTTGTGCACTAATTTTTTTTTTCACAGCCCTTGGCCATGCAACTTGACCGCTTTCTTTCAACGTAGGCGCCTTTTAAATAAACGAAAGGGCCGTTACAAGTGGCCTGCAACTAAAACATGTTATGTATCCAGAGGAACTGGATCGCAAACGTTTCCCTGTGGGTTCACCTCCTTAATATCCAGGCGTTGTGCAATGGTAGGAATCCTCCACCGGGCAGATTTGTCTTCCCAGACAAGAGGCAAGGTCAGTGGCTTCTCTTGTTTTTAATTAAAACAATTAGGACATGGCGTTCTTCTTCTTCTTCCTCCCCCATCCCCGCGCTCTGCTCTGCTCTCGCTATATAGCTTGGGGGGCCCCTCTGAGTAAAGAAACCTGCAACGTTTCCTCTTTTGTCCCATTCATCGAGGCTCTTCTGGTGTATTTGCTCTGTTTGATGATAGGCGACTTTTCCTTTTGAAAAGCTTTTTACTTCTCAGTCCTGCAGCTGACCAAAGAGACATGTCAGAGGAGACTGAACCTGGAGGCAGCCGCAGGATAGGCTGGCTGAAGTGGCCCTGGGACCGCATTCCTCCCTTTCAGCGTTTTTGCAAGCTCCTAGCCCCTAAGAGTTTAACCCATTCCCACCCGGAGATGGTTTGCTCACAGCAGCTGTTCGAAGTGGCCAGGGCTGGGAGAACTTTTTTTTAAATATGATGATGATGATGATGATGATGATGATGATGATGATGATGATGATGATGATGATGATGATGATGATGAT